TATTCTTCGTGTGCATGTGATGTCATAGTCACGCAAAAAATCTCGCAAAATCCAAAATATTTTTGCTAAAGAGCTGTTCTTACAGTATATCTTAAATATATTTCTAGATAGTGTGTATGGAAATTTTCAGACGAATTCAACGCTTTGGTGGCGAATCACAAAAGTTTTAGTTTGTGCGGAGTTTAATTTATTCTACTTTTAGATCGTAAACAAAAACTTCGAAATTGGATAAATCATTCTTTCAACTCCGTAAGAACGTACTTAAGGTGATTTTTCTTTGAAATAAAGCCATAATTGAACAAAATTTACAAAGGAAATCAAGGAAACCAGAGYTTTYGAAGTCAATTTGAAACCAGCCGCCATCTTGGATGATCAAAGCTATCATCCAAGATGGCGTCCCCATACAAATTAACCAAATATTTCAAATCTTTATTCGCTGATATCGTCATCAGAAAGTAAGCTGCAAGCCTTAAAGCTCGTATTCTAGATAATCTGACTATGCTCTTTGTGACTCGCTACTTGGTTTTTGAAAATAACGACTGATAAATTTTCACTTTGGGGGTTGCACACCAAGAATAGTTGAAATGATTTTCCTTAGAGTCATCACATGACCCWTGATACTCCAGTTAAAACAAAGGGGAACAGTTAAATTTGACCCTATTTGGTGGGTTATTAAGTGAAATTCATGGCAAAATATTTGACATGCTCTATTTCTATAAGAGCTAAGAATGCAGAATACTTAAAAAAAATTATTTACATGGATAAAGATGAAATCAGATATATAAATAACTGGGGATTTTGTGTTGGTTAAGCACAATATCTGTCTTGTAGTAATTCTTTGATTYATAGTGTTGCCTTTCCAACAATGTACTTGTACAGCTTTTAAGATAGAAAACTACAAGAACTGCTTCGCTAATGTAATGCAGAAGAGCATTTGAATAAACGACCTGGAGACATATCTGCTCCTTCTCAAATGCAAATAACTTAAATCCAACTTTTGCCTCCAAATTCCCCTCAGCGGCATGTCTTTAGGATCCTTCTATCAAGAATTGGGAAACSTTTCAACGGACTTCAAATCCAACCGTGCCAAATCGTCATGTTTGTACGCTATTCTGACTCAATTTTTGAATCCGCTCAAGAATTCATCGACCTTGATGGACACCGTTTTGCAAAACTCCCTCTGATTGGACGACAATTACCATGGAATTAGTTCAAGCACTCCCSACTACTACGTGGAGTGTAGGAATTGATAACGCTTGAAATACTTTTTTTTTGAATTTGACAAATGAGACTGTTCATATCAATGTTTTCATTNGAAATGTCTCTACAGTATCATGAAAGTTTCAGAAATGTAGATTATGTTGTTTTAACTTTTTAAATAGAAATAGAAAAAGACAAATCTGTTATTTTGTGAGCTGCCGGTCATTTAGGATTTTGATGTTGTGTTACCGCGGTTACCGGCAGTCCGCCGTGTTGGTTGAGATTTTTCTCGAAAAGAAAAATGTCTCTACAGTACCATGAAAGTTTCAGAAATGTTGATTATGTTGTTTTAACTCTTTAAATAAGAATAATAAAAGAGAAATCTGTTATTTTATGGGATGCCGGCCATTTAGGATTTCGTTGTTGGTGGCGTTTATGATGACGTTTATGCAAGTTTTAACACGCTCATTTTAGTCATAGAGTTTTATTTTGGAGTTTGGAAGCTCGTTTAGATAATAAGAGAGGGAAAAACACGTTTTAAGGGCTGCCGGCCATTTAGCATTTTCAAGACCTTGACCGGTAACCGGCCATATAGACACAGCGTTTCAAAAACGTCATAAACCTTCAGCCAAAAGCTTTCTTCGTGTATTTTGCTGGCAAATGTGCTGGGCTTTTGTAATTTTCACAACTCGATGCATTGCAATATGTTGTTTGTTACTTTGGTTGGGTGAAAAAGGAATGATGGTCCCAAAAAGCTGTAGAGTGCAAGTCACATAAGCATGAAACAATTCTTAACTATGTAGTGCTAAATAAGATTTAGTTATCAACTAACTAAGAATTGAGAACAATGCTACAAAGGAATTTAAATAATTGGCATTGTGTTTATGCTTTGTTGAATTCTTCGTTAGTTGATAACTAAATCTTATTTAGCAATACATATTAAGAATTGTTTCATGCTTATGTGACGTGCACTCTAAATGCCGTGTTAATTTGTTAACGGAGCTCGTTGATATTCGTAACCACGTGCTACTTCGAGTTTTGCATAAATAAACTGAAGTTTGAAAACGAAAAATGAAATTAAAAATCCAATTATGAATTGAATAATGAGGTCTTCGAATGCTTCGTGTCTTTTGAGTGTAAACAAAAGATTTTGAACGGTCATGCTTGAAAATCTTCAAGCTGTATGGTGTAGCTAACTATGAGCTCCGAGGTCTAGATGTCGCATGACGCACGTGAACTTTCACGGCTCACTTTAATATTTCTCACTAGACAATTAATTTAGGCAAGACTTAGCACATAGTTAGTATTTAGTTAGTTGTAATGGCTATCTATTTCACGGGTATATTGTTTGCACTTTATTTAATGAATAGACTCGATATCGTCAAATTAAGAAATATTTTGACTCGAAAGTCAGCATGGAGCCCTATTAAGTATGGAAATTTATGTAAACCCTTGCGGCGAGCGAAGCGAAACTGTAATATTGCAAACCTCGAAGTTGTTGAAAATAACATTTTGAAAGAAAGAAATATATGTATTTATAGATTATATGATCAGAAATGATAAAGGGGCGTTTACAGGAGCAATTTCCTTGTCAAGGACGAAATTTGCTCGTCTAAATGGACAACAAGAAAAATGTGGCAAGGAAGCATTGTCAAGGAAAATTTGTTGAACATTCACACGGGCAATTTTTCCTTGTCAAGGAAAACTTGTGTTCTTCGTTAACACTAGCAAAAAAACATTGTCAAAGAAAAATTGTCTAGGAAAACTTGTTGACCATTCACACGGGCAATTTTTCCTTGTCAAGAAACTTGTCAAGGAAACATTGTTCGTGTAAACGCCGCTTTATAAGAAGGGTGAGAATGGTTTACGAATTTCACAAACGTTTTAACTGCTAGAGTTCCATCTCAAACTACAAACTAATAAATATTTGCAAAATAACATGACCTCTTTCACTGTTTAAACTCTATTTCGTGGAGGAGTGGAAGCTAAACCAAGTTAAAACGATTTGTCAAACTCTAAATAAATGAAAGGAGATGGCAGTATCACAGACGTTGTAAATTTACTCTATGATACCGTTGGTGGACTTGCAGCAATTGCAGTTTCACTTCGTTCGCAGCAAATGCTGCATAAATTTTCACCAAACGTGATATAGCGCTCTTTTGTTTATTGATCCAATTAGGAGATTCCGAGGAATGTTAAAATTGGACGTTGGCTTTGTTCGAGCAGGCAGAGAAATCAGTTCAGTTTCTAGTCTAGATATATCTTAATTTGATAATTTGACTGTCTATTTATTATATCCACATAATGTTCCTAACTGAACAATCTATGCACCTATCTATTAACCTGAGTATCGAGAGCCCGAGGATACCACATCCATGTAACGGGCAACCTTTATGGATTAAACGTAGACCTATCTATGAAACTTTATATATATAATATCAAAGAGGCAAGATTTTGCTGTTACTCCGAGTTTAGCACACTCATCAGACAGTATTTAATTAAATACTGTCTGATGAGTGCGTAGCACGAAACTCGGAGTAACAGCAAAATCTTGCCCCTTTGATATTATATATATAACTAGCTCTACACTTTATGTGTATTGAGCACTCTTTAATGGGATCAGCTACTTACTTCCCCATACAATTCTATGAAACTTTATATATAAAAATCAGCTTAAGTCTTTCGATAGTCGATATGCAACGTCTATGTTGACATTAGCCCATTAAAAAAGCGTCAATAAACAGCAAAGTAACTTGTAAGTTGACAAACGTCTAGTCTAGCCTTCTTAAAATTTGTCCCTCATGACTTCAATGTCTGGCGTAAACAGAAAGTCACTAGTGTTTACCTCCTTACGTTAGTATTCTTATGGTGAAACCGACTATGGCATTGTGTTTCCATATAACATTCTATTAGGCCCATGAAAAACTAATGTTGTATTGATTTAAAACTTGTATTGTACGGTCTTAAGGCCACGTTGCAGCTGCATGCGATGCGCAGTCGTTCAGTCGTACATAAATTTTAAAAAGAAGACAAACAAACAAGAAAACGACAAGATGAAACGTCCGAATAAAGAGCTATAATATAGTTCCCGCGTCCATCTAGATTGACAATATAGTCAAAAAATTGTGTCACTACTAGTTTAGTTTGGGAAAAACAAATCAACGTGTCGTCTTCGGAGTGTTCGGTGTTATCAGTTGGCTACAACTGTCAAGACTAGTGTCTGATAGCTTAGTATAGGATTACATGTCCAAACCAGTGACTACCAAATCTCGGTCCAAGCTTCTATGAAACGTGTTTACCCGATACAACTATGTCTCTTTTTTCATCTCGGTTTTTGAAACAAAGGAGTCGCAGCCTTGTCTCAGATTTGCAGTCAGATCAAAAACGAAGCTCTTCCACGAAAAGAAAATATGAGTGGTCTCAAAGTCTGCTATACAGCGCACCGTACCGCAYCTTGCCGATATTTCGAACCAAGTTGGTACTTGGAAATAAACGAACACCCTCCCATACTGACAATTCTCTGCGATATAGAAGTCTTTCTTTATGACTATAGCGTTATACACAATGTTTAATGTCAGAAAGCGAATTTATATGCTCCTGGCCACACGCTTTAGTCAAAAATGACAAAATAAGAAATGCCATAATACAAATGTGATAGCTAATAGTGCCTACGTCTTGTATAGGCAATCTTACCTTTATTGAAAGTTTTTGTTGTTCGATTCCATAAACCAGTTCGTGCTCACAAGTGGTATGTACCACAGCTGTACTTGGGGGGGTCTAAACAATTACTCCCATTGATATCCCCGAAGCATCACACACGCAATTGAAGAGTCACGCAATCGTTTTAAAAAGACAGTTACCTGTTCAAGCTCTCGAAAAAACCTGAAATTTGAGAGAGACTGATTTATAATGAAGCATTAGAAAATATTTTCCGTGTTGCTATTTAGACAATTAAGTAGCTGTATTGTAGGCATCATGTGATAGTTGCCAGGCGCGTAGCGTGGACGTTTTGGCTAGTTGGATAGTTGGCACATGTCAGGGACCGCGTCACATATTTTCTTTTTTGGGGGGGAGGGGGGGGGGTCTAACGACCGCCAAAGGCGGCTGGAGTATGAAGAAGTCTGAACCTTCCTCAGAAAATTTTGAAAATATAACTCTTCGAAATGCGATTTCCAGCGTATTGAGAGACATCGAGAGCATATAAAAGCGATCAATTCTCGTGAATTCAGTAATATTTGTGAAAGTTTTGATATTGCCTTGCCACTAGTACTCACGTGCGYATATGCGTAAAGGACGCTACGCAACTGGTTGCCCGCGGAAACCGAATGTTCCGAAAAGACGAGATTTCAACTGCTTTATTGTTTATTCAACGACAAATGTTCTGGAAGAGACGGGCTCTGTGCACCGATAAAGTACCTTCCACGGCGGGTACTATGGCGTCACATGAATTATAATTACATATTGTTGTTGCTGAATTTCTTTGTTAGAAACCCACGCRATAGGGTTTGCGGAACTTCTATTTCTTGAGAGACAAAGTCTTTGATATGAGAGTTTATTTGAGGGTAACACGTTTTCGGATGTTACAATAGTTTGTTTGGATCTTTAAATCCAAAAAAAATTCGTTAGTYGAAAGACCTATGTCTAGAGTCAAAAAATCTGCATATATGTAAAAAGTATGGGATAGAGTGTTTACACTATGTCCATGAAATCAAATCTAAATAGTTACTATCTCATAGTTTTTATTTAGYAACTATTAGAGTACAAACATTAAATGTGTGCAACACTTTCCACTATTTACTGCAAAATAGTGTTAATTAAACAATRGAAAACAATAGAATAGCATAATTYAGCAGTATTTAGTGGTACTTATGTTGCACAGTTTTAGTGTTTGTACTCTAGTTGCTGGAACAGTTATAATGAGCTAGACATCGGACTGTGAAATAGTTCCTACGCTMAKAGACGCTAGTAGACTCTACACATTTCTTTCTTTTGGAGTCGATCATTCTGTGAAACAATWACTATTAGTCAGTGTTTAATAGTAACTATCAGGGTGTAGTAGACTACCAACAGGCAAAATAATAACCTCTGTGTTTACCTAATTCGTTTGTTAAGTGAAACTATTGGGAGCTATAATAGGGGGTATGAATGACTCTGTTCGATTTCCAAAGTTTACGGAATGTATTGTTACTAAGACTGTTCCAGTTGAATGATAGCTTGACTAATAGTGAATCTATTTGTTAGTAACTACCTAGATTTTATTTCATGATCATCTACTGAAGAAAAAAAGATCACATTGTTTTATTAATACGTTATGTCCACTATTTGGCCTTCTTCAGCAAATAAGATGATTATATTAATATTCATTTTTTTGCTACTAGATGTCTTTTGACCTAAAAGATACCACGTTTCGAAGCAAAGGATCAAATTTGAATAACAATGACTGTTATGCCTGGGTACGTTCAAATAGAGAGGATTTCGTGACTTTGCAACGTCACGGATCGCAACACGGACACGGCACGGCACGGCACGGTCAGGTCACGGAACCTCGTCTTCTAGGATTCCAAATAAAAACTAGACCCTGACAGCAGGGTTGACCGTGACCAGTATGGTGGTTTGATTGCTTGTTTGAGAAAAGACAATTTGTGTACAGGGTTTACTCGAGTTTTGAAAAGTAAAGTTCTGTTTAATCTTTTCACGGATGGAAGTAGGCTCGTAAACATGCTGTTGATATGGCATTTAGTTGAGACGTAACAATCCTCAAATTAATCACTGATCAGTTAATGCACTTGGGTTCCATGTGGTAAATTGTCGTCGGGGCTTGGTTCAGGTGCGACATGAAAAAAAAGACACAGCAACTGCATTTTATGACCGTGACGCAGGCCTTCAGCCTGGTCACGATAATGAAGATTTAACAATACATCACAGCCTCGGCACGGACTGTGTTTTTTGCACAGTCATACGAAATCCGCTCTAACAAGCCACAAGGTGGTTTTTACTGCGATCAGCTTGAGTCCAGTGTTGCCATAGTAAAACTACTTGTGGTTACAATGTATGCATAAGAAAACCCGGAGTAATTTCGGTAATCGCTGAAACCGATGATTGACAAAATCGATATTAATCGATATTAATCGATGTTAATTAATCGATTAATATTGGAAATAGATGACTAATCGATGAGCAACAAATCTGTGGCCTTTTATGGATTAGCAATCGATAGTTAAAACTACCATCGATTAGTATCGGTTAACATCGATTCACATCAATTCGTTTACTTTGGTCATACAAATTAACGTGAAACGGCAAATCAGTAGTAAACGAGTATACAGACTATACTACCCTGCGAACAGAGTGTTATTTWCCTTACCTCAGTAAAAAATTCGCGAAGGAAATAATGCCGATAGCCCAATAGTTGGGGCTAGTCAAGACCAGTTTTTCCTCAGTCAAACTGGTTTTTCTGCGCGCGTCTAAATTAAATGAATTAACCGGTGACCAAAACCGAGCCCACAAGCGTACTATGGCGTCTATCGTTGAACACCAAGCTTTCAAAGTCTTCTTTTTTTCTAGACTTTTTTTCTAGTAGATTATTTCAACTAGACGCTCTTAGAGCGTGAGGTCGGGCTAGCTAATTTTGAAAATTGAGAGAGACAGGATATTACATTGGTGCGCGTATAGGAGAACGAGTGAAAGGTTTTAAACACGATAAGATTGTGATGTTATATTTTGTCTAATCGTATGATTATATATGAATGTAAATTATGTCGAAGAATATATTTTTTTACTTCTAATAAATAGTGAAAGCAAGAATGCGTTACTTMAATTCATGTACAGTTCAAAATTCTAATTGTTTATTCACACGCTACGATATTATTTTTTGACGGCTTTCTGCAATGAAGTCAAAACGATAGAAACATCGAGCCAGGAAAAATATCCTGTCGTTTTCAATTTTTTTGAAAAATATCCCGACTTTACATTTGACATAAAAGGTCATGTAATAAACACCGTTGATACTTCAAGAATGTTTAATGCAATGTTAAAAAAAAGAACCTACTTAAAGTATACTTATCGAAGTGTTTTGTACATKAACCAGAACTTACTAGTCAGAAGAATCTCAAAAAAAATTATTTTCAGGCGAATATTTTAAAAWAAATCTTTCTTTGACTGAAAAAATCAAACGCGTTTAGACTACGTGTCGCTAAGTGATATCCAATACGTTTTTTCAAAAGTCAAATACGTTTTTTTAAAAGTCAAATTGAACTCTCAGGTCAAGAAAATAAATATTATACAAAATAAAAGATGCCTCTAAAATAATCAAAGTTGCCTTTTTATTATTGATAAACAAAGTTTCTTCTTGTTCTAATTTGAAACCTCTGCCCAGACAGGACACATCTAAAGCTAAAGGTTATTCATTCAGTTTCGTAAGCATACTACTCGAAGCTGCATGCGATCTGCACATGGGATTAAAAATCTAAATAACAATGGAAATGCGCAAGGCTCTCTTGTAGTTGTAGTAAAGTTACGCCATCATGCAAATGGCCTATTGAAAAAAAACATGTATCGCGAACACTTATAATATTGGTCGTAAGAGAGTGTGCATGGCATGGAGTAACAACAGCGAAACAAAAGAAGGAAAAAAACACTAATGTTATGCGACATTAGTCACATGGTCAGTCCATTCTCTTTTCATATCAAACTTAATGGTGACAAAAAGTCCGTGATCACCTAAGCGTAACCTGACAGTCCGTATGAAGTGTCAAATTCGACGAAAAGAGCCACCAGATTTCAAGACTTTTTGAAGAAATGCAATGATATTAAAGACAATCCTAAAAACCTACCATCGAATCTAAGAAATAAAATATATATGTGACCTTTCTGTGTATTTTTCGTGAGAAAATTTGAAAATCCAAGTATGTATTTTCGCCTTTGAAGACTTGGAGTTGAGCATCAAAATAGCCAGGTGATCAAAGGTAGCCCAAGCTGGGGATTTGTGTACTTTTAGAAATATTTAAAATAAACAAAAATAAAATTTCTGTGAAGTTTCAGGCCATTTCCTTCAATTTTGAGCGATTTATGCCTGTGGTTTTGATTATTCTTATGAAGGCTATTGAAGTAAAAGCTATTGTTGAAGAGTCCCAGGGTTTCGGAGAGCAAAATCCGAGAGATATTTTTTTACAGCTTTTTGCTTTTCTAATGACCGATAAACCTACATATTCTTTTTAAAAAATGCCGTATTTGTACTCTTTTCGAACTCTTCATTTATAACATATCAAAAGATCTAATCTAAGACCCTCTAAGCAAATGTCACCCGATCTATGGCAATAAGTTTGATATGTCTGAAATCGTCTGATCCGACCGTCGTTGCTTTTTTGAAACAGTCCTAGTCTGCGTGTTGAGTCCGGACAAATTGCATGACGCAGGCTATCCAACCCCCATGATCAGTTTTCATAGTCGCAGTAGCCAGTCATTAAGGGCACTTTTGTGTACATACATAATTTTGTATTTTTCCTGACCTGTAAAGGTTCCGCAAAGAATCCTTGAAATGTACCCTCAAAGCTCTCCAGGCGTCTGAATTCAATTTCAATGTCACCAGTTCACAGAAACACAATCAGATCTATCTTTTTGACGTTTTGATATAACCAGTGAGTATCCTACAATTGATGTCTTTCCGGGATTAACTGTCAAGAGGAAAAATGTTATTTTTAAGTAACAACAGGCTGTGCATTGCATTTTCAGCTTGAATTGTCTCTTGCGGACTTGGAAAGAAACACAGACAAACTTGCCAATCACKTTCATCACAATGCTCCGAGACGATTTACATAAATACAAACCTGAAWCGTCTTTTGTTTTTCTTTAATGTGAAGGCAGCTGTCAATTGTGACAGGAGGATTGATTTTTTTGAAAATGAGGGAATGACTTTTGACCGCGTAAAGTTTTATTTGCTTTTTGATGTCCAGTCACGCGCATTGATAGCGTTTTTCACTTTAAGTAACATTTGTCCTCATCTGASTTTAAGACCATTAAGGAGCGATCCATTATAATTTTAAGGAGGGGGGAGGTGGTGGGGTGCGGAACAGATATTGCAAACCTCTAGCAAGGCAAAATTGTGAAAAATCTCCACTAAAGCTTTTGTAAATTTACAAAAAAATAAAAAAAAAAACAAAAAATAAAATAGAAGCGCGCGCGCTTGAAGTCCAAAAAAAATTCTTGCACAAACAAAACTCACCTCCCCCCTCAAAATACTAATGGATCGCCSCTAAGGAGCAGTTAAGGAAAGGACGACACACAGAAAGACCAATCTTGSCGTTARTTTTCTACAGCAGCTAACTTACTCTTGTTTTGTGGCTGGGTTCGGCCAAACATACGGTAAACGCACGCACTCACGCTTCGAACATCAACTCTATCAGAAAGTGGTATATTGAAAGGGCTACTTTCTTTTATTGATAACTGGAGCATTAATTTAAGTAATTATTGCTAATTTATATTAATCGAGCAACAGTGATGAGCCTTTCCATCAGGCGTTATATCTTGATTATTGATACATTCATGAATAAGCAATGTGGGCTCCCTGTGGAACTATTGTACAGTTTGACCAATCAGAGACGCGAGTTTTGATTTCTTATGACCCTGGTGGCGAGTCTGAAGAGTCACAACAAGTTAACCGCCGTACTCAACAGAGGAACTACAACCAGTGAGCGAACATTTAGTACTGTATAGTGTATGCAAGCTATGAAATATTCTTAAAAGAATTTCTTACTTCTAGCCATGTTATCAACTAATCAATTTTTTCAGCTGTCGTTGAAGGAGCAATCGACGATCGATCAAAGAGATCAAAGGCAAGCTTTTTGAAGTTGGAATCTATTAACATTGCACAGATAGACGACAAGAATATACCAAGGTTAGAATGAGAACAAATGCCTTGAAGATGTCAGTAGAATGTTTTGCCTGTATTCCTAATTGTGTAATATGCTTACCTAATTGTATAATATGCCTAAACCTTATAATTTTGGTGCTTTTTAATGATGAATTCAACTCGCGTTCGCAGTTTTGTTTTTTGGCGCGAAGAGTCTAGAGCTAACGGCGGCGAGGCCGAGCAGTTTGTAATGAAACTAGAATTGTTTAAAATGTGTTACCTATATTCCCAATCGTATAATGTGGTGTCTTTATAAATTTGCTGCGTTTGATGGTTGAAATTCGTAGCCAAATCTCCCCAAATCGCTGCCGCATTGTTTTGGCGCCAARCGTCGTGCAGCAGAGCTAACGGTCGAAGCAGAATAAGCTAAAGAGTAAAGGTGTTTCCAATATCCCAAATTATATAATATCCTTCCTTCATAAATGTACTGATTTTTCAAAAAGTTAATTTAGCATTAGTAAGATTTAATTACAAGCTAATTTGCCTTTTCTTTCAGTTTTTCTGTTTTTAGCGCGAAACGGCGTTGAGGACTAGTGATGGTTAGACTTTAAGTCATGACCAACTGCCAAATATGCATTTCGCGCCACAACGGCAACAAACTTTGATTTCTTATGAATTATATTATTTTTTCATACTCACAGATATGTCGTCGTGTGGAATTGTGCATTTCAGTTTGACTGTATCAGGTAGGTAGTTATACTCGTACGATAAACACTTTCTAAAAAACATATTATTATCTATGAGGTGCCAATACTTTAATTCTTTCTTTCGCTAGTGAAAAATAACACATTCTTTATAGTATCTTTATATATTGTAGTCAAATAAAACTGGTATTTTACAACAAATAATTTGCTTCCATAGATAATGATATATAGTAAAGAATATTACATGGCCACTTGGGATGCGCGTGCATTTAATATCCTCTATTTAATTATTATTTATATCTGTTGACAACCTCAAAAATTCGATTGAAGATAGAAACCAACGTCAGGGACAACAACTGTTTTGATTCCTCGTTCATGTTCTACAACTTCAAATGTCCAGGATATGGAGGATGGCACCCCGTCAATTCGAGAAATGGCATCTTGTAAAATGCGTCACGCATTGCGTTCCATTGTTTTCTCTTCTAATTCCTTGTGCATGTCGACGGTCAATTCATGATGGTTGTGTGATGAAAGTGATGATGAACATGATGCTGGCAATGGTAGTGATGATGAGTGATAAAGATAGAGAGACAACGAAATTCTTAATAATGAAATATGTTGAACTGATCATGCACCATAGATGATATTGCAACAAAGGCTATTTATATCAGATATATAAAAAGATTTTGCCCATTTTTTTCTGACCCCCCTCACCCTCCCCTTTTTGATATCTGAAAAAAATATGACACTCCTCCTGATTCCATCCTCACCCCCTCACCCCTGCTAATTTGTATAAAGTCCCTTAACTAAAGAAAATTGTAAAATTACAACATGTCGACGATCGGAACATTGAAATATACCACCTACAGGTAAAAGTAAAAATAGACTCCAATATTAAAGAGCCGATATTTCAAGGTCAAGAGTCTCAGATCACTATGAGATATTTATGGGTGTAGAAACTATGTGGATAAAACGAATAAGCATTATCTAGTTGGTTGGCTTCACGTAAAAATACGCGTATATTCTATGCTAAAAAAATGGACACGAGAAGGACAAAATATATTTTTATACATTTGGTAATCTTTCTACCTATTTGTAGTGTAGGGCGGTAGCCACAGGTGCGCAATGGGTGCAAATGGTGCGCGTGGCTCAATACCCCGTTATCACTACAATCCGATTGCCCGGCGCTCTATTATTTTATCATAATAGAATGTGCCTTTAAAAATCGGTTTTGCACTTCATAGAAAGATTATTGAGTAAGGTAATTTTGTGTGAAGGACCATGAGAAATTTTGATTATCGTCTCTGTATGCAATTTTTGAAGCCGATAGCAAGGTAATCGCAGTTTATTGGTGATTCAGGGGCTAAATTGTGTATATAGGAGAGAAGGATTTTTGTGTGTGTCATAATGTACATGTAATACTAGTTACATTAACCTATAATTAATCTCYGCGTCATGGCAAACCCTGTTAAACATTACTCTTAAGCACTTAATTAAGATGTTTTAAAAACTGTTGTCATTATGATAGATGACAAACGCGTTTCATACTCCAAGTCCTTATAGCGTAACCCCATCCATATTCACAATTAATCACCTCCCTTAACAACAGAGTCTGATTATGCAGGCATCTTCATATCTTAACTAATAAATTATTCAGGTGCAGTAGCTCTGACGGCGAATGACACACCGTGTGTGATCGAATCGAGGGCTCAGATAGATGCTGATCTATGTATCGAAGGTGAACACTCTGGGAGTAAAAGCCATGTAGGCAGAGATGCAACAGCAAAAGTTAGAGGGCTGAAGATCTCAAATAAGACAAACATAGCTACATTGCCAGCTTCTAGTAAGCACATAAGTATTCCAGGCAAGTCCATTTTATCATATATATATATATATAGTGCATATATGTAAATAATTTGTGTCGTGGATCCAATAATGCTCCGGTCCAAACCCATAGTGAGTAAAAAGTATTCTTTCCTCGATCTCAATCGTTATTAGTGCCACAATTGTTGAAAAAAAATCGAATTCGTGTCGGAATCAGGGGTTCTCTTGCAGTCGCCGGATAAAGTCGGTTTTTGGAAATCGTTGAATGGTTGTAGAAAAGATATTTTGGTGTTCCCAAGTCCAARTCAGGCACCATCATATACCGATAAGGCGCTATTTCCAATTATAACAAATTACACAGGGAGACCAATTTGTATAGTAAAATAGCTATATAGCTATATAATATATATATATAATAGTCTGTAAGTATGCACAAAAATCAATAAATAATATTAAAAAACGTCATGTACCTCAAYTACCTTGAATCTTTGAATGTTAAATTGCCAATAATTTTGAAAGATATTTGAAATGATAGTCTTTTCAGTTATTGATTGCTTCAACCAACACTTACTATTGTCAATAAGCATATCAAGAAAACTAAAATAATACGTCACTGTGTCATTGGAAAAAAATAATGTATATACTGTTACAAGTCCTGGATCATATAGACATTACTTTTCACCATAATTACATTGTCTGAAGGTAATTAAGGCAAAGTTAAAACTAAGACAATTGTTGCACTCAACGGTATTAACAGTCAGCTTGGGGCGTCCCTAGTTTCGTCTTGGGCTTTAATGCAGCGTCAGTGCAGTGCTAACTTGCGAGCGAGTTGTTCGTGCAATTTTATCTTCCCGCCCTCCCCCCTCTTTTGGTTGGATTTGGTATAGGTGAATATGCATTCCACTGTTTTTCGTGTGCCAGGTACTGGTGGTGAGCTGTTGSYCATGTTTTCCTTTTCGCTGCGAAATAATTAGTTGGTCGTCTTCATCCTTTTCTTCATCCACTTCTACTGCATCTATTCTGAATCCTAGAACATCTGTGCAGTATTCTGCTCCAATAAGTCAKGCAGGTCAKTCGCGTTCACCAATTTTCGATTTTTCCCATCCCAGCACCCAAGTAAGTCAGCAAATCAAGAGGATTGACGCGCAAGGGCTGTAATTTACTTAAATTATGCTGCCAAGATGTGYTACAAGTCACCTTTTTTCAAGGAATCCAGAGATATGTTTTCTTCCTACAATTCGTGGTGTTGATACCAATCACTTTTTACTTGGATACTGAAATAAGAAAAAAATAGAAAACAAGGTGGGATGAAGACGAAGTTGATGTTATAGAGACCGTTTGGTCAACTTTAGAAAATATTTACCCATACACGTTCACAGAYAAAAGRAGAAAAAAGGGGAAAATATAGGAGYATGACGAATGACATTAGGTAAACTTGCAAAACCACCACCAGCTGATACCGATCTGCCTATAGCCGTAAATCCTCCTACGTTTGAAGAGACAAACAATGCCATCAGTTCTCTCAAGCGAATCAAAGCC